CCCGCCCGCCGCCGCCTCCTTCCTCCTCTTCGTATTCCGTTTGTTTGTTTATTTTTTAGGCTAAAAAAAAGGCCACGAAGAACGTCCTCTTTTTATTCCCGGAGTATCTGCCACTGTGGGGTTTGGTGTATTTACCTCACAGGCGTAGGGGAACGGGTGTCCCGTCCCTGGCCTAGAGCCGCACTCCCTGTGTCAGCAGTGGGGACGACTGCCCTTGCTTTAAAGATGCTCCGTTTTAGGAAAAGGTTGGGACGAGGAAGTCAGGCTGTGATTTATTTTATTTTTTAAATTCAAGTTTCTATTTCTCTTGAAACGGTACAGCATTCCTTTTGCTGCTCAGGACCAGCCTTAGCTCCAGACGCCCTGGTGCTGTTGGGGACAGCAGGAGGGTGCGTGTGGCTGTCTTGCACGGGAGCGAGTAGCTACGGCTTTGGCTACGCCGATGAAACGAGCCCCCTCAGGAGAAGGACTACGCTGGCATGTGTACTTGGCGTGGGTTTGCTGTGTGTGAAGGGAGGCGGTACACTTTAACTGCTGTCTAATGCACGCCTGAAGTTTCAAATGTTTGTTGTGTAATTCCTAGCAGTTAAGTCTGTATCAGGTGATGCCAGAAGGAGCCAATCTTGCAGTCACGAGTTGGGTTTTCCAGCAAGTTCCGTAGCTGCAAGGCTGTGTCTTGGGATGATGAGTACAAGCCCGTCAGTGTGAGACACTCAGAAGTGTGTTATTTCAGTGCTTCTTAACGTTATTGTGACATGCAAGGTGTAAATTGAAAGGGAGGGTAAATTGAAAAGTTAAGATGTGCAATTTAGAAACAGGGCTCAAATGTGGGACTGGCCTTAAGTCTTCGTTTTCTATATGTTCTTTTTTCCAGCCATACTGTTTTCCCCCTCCTTCCCCTCCTTTCTCCACTGTAACAAAATAAAATCAGAAGTGCTAAAGTACCCAGCAAGCTTGGAGTAGAAGTCCACAAGGAAAATCTGTGGTGTCTCTGCAGGGCTACTGGCCTCACTATGGCTCAGGAAGTCCTGTGTCCTTGAGTCATCTCGTGGCTGTAGTATTTGTGCCGTTCGGCAGCCCTGGGCAACTGTGTTAGACTCTGAGGCTGTGTGCTGGGCAAGCTGTTTATGCCAGCCTGTCTTGGTAACAGGAATTTAGGAACCTTGTTTTAACTGAAATACAGTAAGTGAATTTGAAGGAAATTGGGAAAGGAACACCCGTCAATAAATGTTTTTTGCTGTTTGTATATAGTGTGATATGTAAGCAGATTCGGTCTTCGGTTTTTGAGGTTTAATAGGAATGATGAATGGAAACAGTAATTGTAGGGTCTTAGGCCTCTTTATCTAAATGAGCAGAGAGGAATAGAATATTTCTTTCTGATATTGGCAATATTCCAGAGTGAAAATAGCCCAATCTGGAGAGCTATTACTATAGAACAGTTTCCCAGATCAAACTGGTCAATTCCTGTGTAGATGAACTGATAGGACAATGTTCTTGAGGTCGATCTGAAGCCATCCTCTACCCACCATTTATGTCTGATTTTGTCAGTGTAAGATACCCTTTGTACCATCATGCCCACCACTCCTCAGCTACCAGCACTGTGTACAACATGACTTGCATTCACAAGTCTGAAGTCCCTAAGTCCCGTTTCTGCAGATGTGCACCTCAGCAGCCTTCCTAACTTGCGTACTTCAAGTGTTGCAGCGCCTGGATCTAGGAGGGTCTAGTGAGAAACTCCTGTGAGGAATGGCTGAGGGAGTTGGGGGTTGTTTAACCTGGAGAAGAGGAGGCTCAGGGGAGACCTGATCGCTCTCTACAGCTACCTGAAAGGAGGTTGCAGAGAGGTGGGGGTTGGTCTCTTCGCCCAGGTAATGATAGGACAATGACTGGCCTCAAGTTGTGCCAGGGGAGGTTTAGATTGGATATTAGGAGTAATTTCTTCGCTGAAGGGGTTGTCACGTGTTGCAACAGGCTGCCCAGGGAGGTGGTTGAGTCACCATCCCTGGAGGTCTTTAAGTGACATGTGGGTAAGGTGCTGAAGGACATAGTTTAATGGTGCTGTTATCAGTGTTAGGTTAACAGTGGGACTTGATGATACTAAAGGTGTTTTCCAACCTGAAAGGTTCTGTGGATCGCAGAATCTGTCTTGAGGGTGGCTGCACACTTGAGCTCTCCAGCTCAGGCCCTTAGAAAGCCACGAGACACTTCCTCCAGCCATGAAGCTGTGCTTATCACGGTGTGTGCTTCCCTTTCTCAACACAGGCGCTTTGATTACCGTCCGAAAACCGATCCTTACTGCCAAGCTCGTTACACCTTCTGTCCCACTGGCTCTGCCATTCCAGTTATGAAAGAAGAGGATCTCATTGAAGTGTATCGATTACAGGCTCCAGTATGGGAATTCAAATATGGGGACCTACTGGGACATTTGGTAAGGTGGTGGTTTTCGTTAACAAAGTTATAGTGGCAAATCCAGCTGAATTCAACAGCAGGTGTCAAGAATGGGGGCTGTAAGGTTGGCATATGCTTGTAGGGAAGAGAACTGGAGCATAGGAGTTAGGCTGTCTGTAGGAAAGATACCAAAAGAGCAGGAAGTTTCAAACAGAAGTTAGAGAATTTAGCTCAGCTAAAGAAAAGAGCATGAGCAGCACTGTCGGTGGGTTTGAATGTGCTCCTGCACGGAGCTGCATGTTGGGTGTGTTTGTATACACACACCATTACATTTTGGGTGTCTTTTTTGTTTTTTTTTCTGCACCAGCACTGCATCAAGAAACTACGCTTATTTATCCCCTTATGTCTGATGAAATGCTCACTTAGTGTATTAACTTTTCTGTAGTTAAAAAACTTAGGTATTTGCATGATCATGGATGGATGTCAGGAGTGGACAGCTAGCTGGCAGAATGGTTGGTTGCTTTTGAGCGTTTTTCTTGGGTATTATGATCAGTCTTGAATTAAAGTCTCAATTCACAGAGTCATGCAAATATGAAAGAATCACAACTTTACTGATATTTGTAGCTATAGTTAAGCGTCAAAGCATGATCCCTAATGAATAAAGAAATAGCAACATCAAAACCAAGCACGCAGAGTCAAAATGGAAATAGCTTCAAATATCATTATCTTAGTTGTTAAATTAGAACTGAATTTATGTATTTAATACACAGCTTCTAAAGTAAACATCTATTTCATCCCTTTTGTGGCTTTCATTACTAAGATCTGTTTTTCTGTAACTCAGTTCTATTCTTTATTTCTTTGATACGCTTGTGAGGTTAAGGAATTAGAAGTAAGCTTGAGTTTTCCTGGTGAGCTCCCACTGAGTATCTGCCTCCAAATAACAGAATTTACAGTGGATGGACAGACAGGCACTGAAACAGCATGACTCTGTGACAGAAGTATGTGGATGATGCAGTCTCATATGTTGTGCATCGATGCTGCTGAATCCAAGATGTTGTAGGAACTCCTTCCCCTCTTCTCACCGTTATATAACAGCTCCCAATTGTCTTTATCTTCTGTACAGGTCAGGCTGAAGTTGGTTTTATATTAAAATATGTGGTTTTTTGCTTTTCCAGAAAATTATGCACGATGCTGTGGGTTTCAAGAGCGCTCTGACAGGCAAAAACTACACAATGGAGTGGTATGAGCTCTTCCAGCTTGGGAACTGCACGTTTCCGCATCTCCGGCCTGGCATGGATGCGCCATTCTGGTGTAACCAGGGAGCTGCCTGCTTTTATGAAGGAATAGATGATGCACACTGGAAGGAAAATGGAACTTTAGTTCTCATGACCACAATATCAGGTAGGTTTCAGATGCTTTGGATGGTGCTAATGCCATAAAATACAGAGTCAGCCTTGTCTTCAAGTGAAGTATCTTTTAATTTATGTCTTGTGGGTTATTCGCAACGTTAGTCACTGATGCTAATTTCATAGTGAAATATTATTCCTGCGCTTTCTTTGTGGTATGAGGCTGCTGCCTTTTGAACAACATACCCTGAAGAGCTGTTAAGTGAGAGTCATTTGGTGTTGCTGCGCAAAACCACTCGAGTCTCTTGAGTGTAAAAATAGCAAAACAGCTTATACAGAACCGTTATGGACTCTTTTCACCTGGCTTCACCAAAACAAAGCCTTCTGTTGTGAGGTGGCAGATGACTGCTGAGATGGAAAAACTGTTGAAAACGTGCACATTGCTGAGCAAACAAATAAGGCATATTTAGAAATGGCCTCAAAACCATAAGAAGTATTAACCTCTATTTCCATCTCCCCCATTATGTGTCATAAAAACTGTGCAGATGCCCTCAGTAATAGGTCTCTGTCCCTATAACAAACCCACCAACTCCCTCACGAATGAGCCAGCACAGGAGTTAGCGAAGCAGCTAACGCAGGAGTCAGGGTGAGGGTCAGCAAGTGTACAGCAGTGAACGAGAGAGAGTAAGGGAGGGAGTAATGGCTCCGGGCCCCCCTCCTCACCTCTGCCCGGAGCATGACGTACTATGGGATGAAATACTCCCTTGGTCAGTTGGGGTCAGGTGCCTGAACTGTGTGTCCCAGCACTGCCTGTAGCGAGACAGCGAGAGCTGGGCACGCAGCTGCAGGATCAGAAGCGGAGAAAGACCTTGAATCTGGTGCAGGCATTCCCCAGCGCCAGCTAAGAACTTATCAGTGCTGCTCTCTGCATCCAGGACCAGCTTCCTAGCAGCCACGGTAAAGAGAGTTAACTCTTTCCTGACTGAACCCAGCACAATATGTCCTAGAACAAAGCCAGGGTTTAAACCTCTAAATACGTAGGTGACCACCAGAGTAGCTTCCTGGTATATACTGAACGTTGAAACGAGCAATGAAATAAGCAGACTTGCTTTCCTGTGGGTTTGTAGCTCATGACTGAAGTCTCTGATGCCTGACAGGGTTGGATTCTTTTGTATAAACACCACGGTAAGTAGTTTCATACGGTTGTGGAACTTGTGATGCTTCCTGCCTGTGAGGATTATTTGATGCCCAAGAAGGGTGAGGTTATGCTGGTGTCTTGTGGAGGCATCATCACGGTCTTCCTAGTCTCTCTCGCTTCCTGTTTCCACAAAACTTTTAGGAAGGTAGCATCTCTGAGAGTTTGGATTTGTCTGAATTTTAAAGCCCATTGACCAGGTTAGTGTTGCTTAGGAGTGTGTTTCTTCTGTGGAAATAGGGCACGAATATCCAAAGTGTGATTTTTTGAGTGTCGAGGCATCTTCCAACAGATATCTTGGGAGCCATGCATTAACCTGTAATATTTTTGTTTAAGATGTTAAGGCCAGAACTTCATATTGAAGTCCATCTTGGTCTCGTTAGGAGAGACAAATCCTTTTCAATAACATGTCTTACGGAGTACACATTAGGAAGGTAATCTGATAGGAATTAGACAAGACAGAGGGGAGTTCAAGCCCATCTACAGTTTCAAGTACAGTTCTTGGTACGGATTTAACGACTTGCTATTTTATTAAACCAAGTCATGGGCAATTAAAAAAAGAAAGTGTCCAACACTTTCACTAAACAGAATGATTGTTATGTTTACTGTGAAGCCCAAAAGCTCTTGACGTGTGGTGTGGAGAAGAATTGTAACAGGGTAGCCTAGGAGGTGGATGTGCAGAGCTGGAGTTGCTCTAAGTTAGTAGCTTGCCCACGTGCCTTTCCGTTGGGCAACTGCGAGGCATGTTTACTCTCCGTTGAAGAGCAGACCCAGCCATCTGGCCTTCGCAGCCTGTTTGGGGGGGACACGTGAGGCAGGCAGCGCTCTTCAGTGGTCCTGACCTAGTGAAAGAGGCTGGTTGTTGTCTGCAGGGCGGTGTTAGTGACACAGATCTGTCTGATGTCTGCCACCCCTCAACTGCGAGGTCACTGCTGCTAGCCTCTCGGCTTGCAACGGTCTTGCCTGTCTCAGCAGCTACTGAGCACGGTTACTGTACCCACAGCAGTGACACTCGCGGGCGAAGAGTGATCGTGGCTGGGAACACTCTCACGATTGCGAGCTGTCGTCTGACTGCATCTTCTGACGTGTTGCAGAAGAGGAATCTGCAACATTTGTTCGTGCTGTGATTGTGAGGTGCTAGTGGGTCTGAGTCAGCTGGTTGTACCCTGTGCCGTGACTGAGGGAAGAGAGGGCGGGAAGGGCAAGGCTGAGGTGCAGTGCTGACTACGGGGAAAAAACAAAAGAAGGAAAATTAGCCCTGTGCTTCAGCTCTGTTTTGCGGAGGCAGATACATCACCCGGAGAGATGAGCTGAGTTGGAGATGTCTTCCTCGTTCCAGCTGTGAAATCACCAACATCAGAATACTTGTGTTCTAAATAACAAAAATAACCCTCAAGGTCTTTATGTTTACAGGTCTTCACATCCTGCTGGTGTCATTTGGCGTAGCTCAACTTGATTGGCTGAGGAGCTGCTGAATCACAGAATGGTTTGGATTGGAAGGGACCTTAAAGATCATCTAGTTCCAACCCCCCTGCCATGGGCAGGGACACCTTCCACTACACCAGGTTGCTCAAAGCTTCATCCAGCCTGGCCTTGAACACTTCCAGGGATGGGGCATCCACAGCTTCTCCTGGCAACCTGTTCCAGTGCCTCACCACCCTCTTGGTGAAGAATTTCTTCCTGACATCTGATCTAAACCTCCCCGCTTTCAATTTAAACCTGTTACCCCTGGTCCTGTCACTACAGGCCCTTGTAAAAAGTTCCCCCCAGCTTCCTTATAGGCCCCTTCAGGTACTGGAAGGCTGCATCAATAATACTAACAGCAGGCTGTCGCAGTGTGGAGAGACATGAAAGCTTCTGCGCTGAGTTGCCGAATTTAGTTAAAACTTGGGGCAGTGCTGAAACACCTGTTGCACTGGCGAGTACTTTGTCAGCATCTCTTGTAGGCTGTACTACCCGCCCCGTTTGCCTACATGGATACGACAAAATGGGAAGTGTCATGGTTCTCTGATGTTTGGATGTTGTGGTATAGTGCCAGGAAAGGGGGCAGAAAAAATGAATTAGAGTTTAAATAACCTACATGTAAATACAGTTTATTGAGTGGGGTATGTCTTCTCCCTCCAGCCTAAGCCTTGTGTCTTTACGTGGCTAGGGAATGTCGGTAAACTTTTGCAGGGAAGGGAGGTGAGCCTCGGAATAAACGGAGAATATTTTGGGACATGTATTTGCTACCTTGTCTGTGTGACACTTCCTTTCATCTCTTACAGGAACCATGTTTAATGAAATGGCAAAGTGGGTCAAGTACGACAACGAGACTGGCATTTACTATGAGACCTGGCGGGTTCAAGCGAGTCCCGATGAACGATCGGTCGTATGGTTTGACGCTTATGAATGTTCTAAATTTATACTGAGAACATACCAGAAGCTAGCCGACTTAGGAGCTGTCTTTAAGAAGATACAAACAAACTATACCAGCATCATTTTATTCAGCGGAGAACCTATTTATTTGGGAAATGAAACATCTATTTTTGGACCTCTAGGAAACAAGTCATTGGCAGCGGCTGTAAGAGACTTCTACTCTCCCTTCAAACCACATCGGACAGTGGGAGAGTTTTTTGTGGATATTTTTAAAATAATCGATCGTGTCATCTTGAAGCGTCAGTTTTACCTCTTCTACAACTTGGAATACTGGTTTTTACCTATGAAGTACCCTTATCTCAAAATCATTTATGAAGAGGTCCCTTTACCTGTTGGAAGCAAAACTTTCTTTGGTGTATAATTGCTTACTGAAGAACCAAACTTGCCCTTACACCAGATTATCCTTAAGGATTTTGAAGCGCTGCTGTGACCGTGTTAACATGTTTCCCTGCTAACTGTGAAAGTTGCGTTGGGAAAGCTTTGCTAGACCATGCCTGGTTTTAATTACCACCTGCATAATACGATCATGCCTGCTTCAGCATCTCCGACTTGTCCAGCTTCTGTGTAACCGTGGACACCCGCTGCCTGTAGGTAGGCCGGTGCAGCTCCTCCTGGCTGAACCCCGCAGTGCCAGAGGGGGACGGGAGGCAGGCCGGCTCCGCTGGGTTCTTGGCCAAGTGGCAACAGGTAGCGCCTGGCCACCATCAGAGATGGGACACTGTCGAGGTTTAACACACAGACACCAAGCATTGCAAGGACCTTCTGGTCTGACCAACTCGGCTAATCCACGCGTTGCCGCTGACAAACCCGAGTGCCTAAACGCGCCTAATTCCCTTGCCAGGTGCCTTCCATCGGTGGTTCTGTCTGCCTTTGGTTTGTACAACTGAGACCTTCATGAACGCTTTTCTGGTTCACGAAGCAGGTGGTCAGTGGGGTGGAAAGGGGCTGTGAATCCAACAGGAGATGATAGAATCATCATAGAATGGTTTGGGTTGGAAGGGACCTTAAAGACCATCTAGTTCCAACCCCCCTGCCATGGGCAGGGACACCTTCCACTAGACCAGGTTGCTCAAAGCCTCATCCAGCCTGGCCTTGAACACTTCCAGGGATGTCTTGGCATGGGTGGTGTCTTGTCACCACTTTGCTTCCTTCCCCTGTGCTGTAAACACAATCCAGGTGGCTCTTCCTAAGAGTTGTGTGTGAGTTTTCTAGCACAGACAGAAGGCAAAGACCCTCTTTGATGTTGCCTTTGGTGGGTAACGGCGGTATTCTAGCAGTCTTCAAGTCTAATTGGGGCTTCAGTTAGGAATATAAACATGACTTCTATGAAGCTGCCCTTTTACGTTTCTTTAAGAAGCGTGGAATCCTTAACGTGAAAGAAGCAATGACAGGTGGTGGGGTGTTAAAGTCACAGTTAAAAACCAGCGCTTGTCCCTAATTTGCCCGTAAAAAGCCGTCTGGCACTGGCAGTGATGTTCGCAGTTACGGTGCTGTGCCAGCTGCTGGCAGCTCCCTGGCTATGCCTCGAGCACCTTGGCACCTAGTTCCCTTTAAACCCAACTGACCAAAGCCAAGGCAACCCTGGCTTTCAGGAGAGCAGCGAGGTTGCCTGTATGCAAAAACACGACTGCTCAGCAGCATAATCATCTCTGTTCTCAACGCTTTTTTTTCCTCAAGCCAGTTGCAGACTGAGTAGCGCTCCTGCAGAGGTTACTACTGCATCATGGCTAGGTATTAACACAGGAACCCGACGCTGCAGCCTCATTTGGCTTGAGGCAAGTGAATAGCCTGCTGCAGCCGAAGAGTGGAGTACAGTGATTTGATGCCAGTCATAAGAATGGCAGAAAATGAACCTTGTATTACAAAGTCACTAAAAAGAATTAGTTTAATTGCATTCTTGTGTAATGGGATGTGCATGAGAGCTCCTGTGAGGGGAGTGAGGTGATGAGAGCACTTCTGCAGGGGAAAGCTGCCCAATGCGTTCCATTCTTACACAAATCTTCATCTTCTGCCTCAGCTTGAAAGACTTCATGCTTTGCAGCCAAAGCCACTAGGCCTTGCTCTGACCAGCTGGGCTTCAGATGACCCACCAAGACGGTCAGCCAGGAGGCACTAGGGAAGGTAACAGGGAGCGACAGGCCTGTCTGCAGAAGGTACGTTTTTGTTGGTGCACGCTTTCAAGCCTTTGAAACCCTCAGCATTCTTGAGCCCATTTATCTTCTTGGGAAAAAGCCTCAACCTCAAAACCAGGGTCAGAAGCTCTGAAGGGGAAATAGGATTGTGGAATGAAACCCATAGAAACCCCAAAAGCTTCTTCTCTAGCGTTTGCTAAAAAGGGTGTAGCACTGGTGCAGCAGAGAGACCTTCCAGAGCCTGAAGCAGATGCCGTGGCGGGGAAGGTTACGCTCCCTCACAGGGCTCTCTGCCAAGCCTGACAGTGCTGCTGTTTGGTCACTGTACTTCCTTGTCTTCCTACGGGACCTAGGGAGCCTACAAAGTCGTTATTTTGGAATGTTGTGATGCACAGAAGAGCCTTACAGAACCAGAAATGCCAAATCGTGAAATAAACAGCTAACGGGAGCTGAATCCCACACATCAAAGCTGCCGTGTGCAACTCCCAACAGTCAAAACATGGGTGTTTGTGGACCAGTAATATCTGGACAGGTTAGACAACTCGACACTGCAGACTGGTTGCACGAAGGTAGAAACCTTTTGGAATAGAATCAGACTGGTTTGGGTTGGAAGGGACCTTAAAGACCATCTAGTTCCAACCCCCCTGCCCTGGGGCG